CTGAAACTGATACTGTATTGCAAACTCCTTTATGTACCTTTCAACTTCTTCCTCTTTTAATTCTTTACTTACCTCATTTGAGAAGGAAGGCCTTAAAGGCTTTAACAAGCAAGTGAGGAGATACAATATTCCAGCTGCAGTTCTCCTAACTAAGAAACAGGAAAGACCATCTCCCATGTAAAACTTCCAAAGTTGGTCTTCTTGCAGGTAAGCAAATCCATCATCAGAAAAAAACATCACCATTTTCAAACCTTGTTTCACTTTCACCTTTTCCTTGGTTTCAATATATTGTTCCACAAAATTTCCCACTGTCTTCTCATTTAAGGAATCTTTAATTCTGAGCTCTCCTGCCACAAAGTCCACCCCTAAGTTGGCAGGTGAGTCACAATTAATTGGACCTTTCCCATCCAAATGCACAATAGCAGAAAAAACAACTGGAGAATAGTCTTGATGATCCTTTGAAATATAAGGAGCAGAAAGTCCCTCTTCAACCTTGGTTTTCAAAATGGCTTTAAACATAGTAGAAGAGTGCATCCCAGCAGTCAATTTTTGATTGTACATTGCTGTTTCAACCTCTTTATCATCCATAACAAGCCTGCAACCTCTCACAACCTTCATCCAAGTTAGTGAAACTCAATGTGAAATCACTGCCCCAATTTGAACATTAGCATATGATTCCCCAGAAAAAGGATAAACATGATCCTCAAGAACCACTGGACCAGACCTCTTTTTGTTTGTTTTCTTTTCTTTCTCTCATGTTAGGGAAGCAATGGGGAAAATTCTTGCTCGAGGTCACAGTCGAGACCCTGTTTACTCTGGCAATCCAAAGAATATTATTGGGCTTCTGCTGGTAAGTTCTTAATTCTCAGAGTCTATTGGTCTAAGTCGAATACACAAGTGTGAGGCAAACTCATCTCTTGAGAATTCTTTTGGGGTGATTTAGACCATTTTACATGCTATGAAAGGTCCAAACAGTTTGTGGAAACCCACTCACTTGATGTCTCACTTGATGTTTGTGTTACCCGTTTAGGGGTCGATTTGGGTTAATTTGTTTTCCTTTCTGTCGCCTATCCTGGATTGGGTTGAACTTGAATGGGTGTGTTGAGTATCACATGTTAATTGACTGCTAGGTTTGAGGTTAATGCATAAGTGTTCGGGAAATCTCAAATCTTGAAGATCCTTTTGGGTGAGTTAGGGTACTATTTGACATCTATCTTCACAATGCTAGGTCAAAAGCCTTCTTACTGTTCTGGCAGAAACCGAGACCCCAGTTAGTGCTGTTTCTATCCGGAGAATTCCTCGGTATGTGTGTAGTCTTTACTTGTTTTTATGGATCTTTGGATAAGTCATGGTAATACTATTATATGCATATTATGTTTAGAGTCCCATCGGATATGCCCCTCTATGACATATTGAATGAGTTCCAGAAAGGTAGCAGCCACATGGCTGTTGTAGTTAAGGTGAAGGAAAAAAGTAAAAAAAAAAACTTAGTAGAAAATGAGCAATCTGAAGAGACTGTAACACTAATGGGGGTAACTCTCAGTTTAGTACTATGTTGCTCCCCAAGAAGGATCAGAAAAAGTCAGATAGTGTGGTGGTTGATATTGAAACAAATGGTCTGCCTCAGCCATCAGAGGATCTTGAGGATGGTGAAGTAATTGGCATCATCACCCTGGAAGACGTGTTTGAAGAGCTTTTGCAGGTTGGCTTTGGTGTATTTAAACTAAGGGCTCCATTTGTTTCCCAGAAAACATTTTCCGTTTTGAAAACAAGCCATTTTCCTGAAACATTTTTATGTTTTCAAATTTTGTTGGTCAAACATGGACAACCAAACCACTTATTTTCCATGAAAGCATTTTCCTCGGAAAATCTATTTCACAAGTTATTTTAGTGGAAACAAATAGAACCTATATCTGTTTCATTTTTTGTGGTTAGAGGTGTATATGTTTTGTAAAGTTTTGAATTGATGCAGGACGAAATTGTGGATGAGACAGATGAGTTTGTTGATGTACATAAAAGGTGTTCAATACTTGTAACTTTGGTTTAGTTTTTCGGATAGAAGTAAAAAACATTCTGTACTAATGAATTGTCCTTTCAGTCCAAAAACGTAAAATTTATTTGATGATGGTGCAGGATACGTGTGGCGGCAGCCGCAGCTGCTTCGTCAATGGCACGTGCTCCATCAATTAGGAGGCTTACAGCCCAAAAGGCAGCTGTAAGTGCATAAATTAAAGTTATAGGCCTAGTTTGGGATTGTTGTGGCTTTGTGACAAAATGAAAAAGTGTCGTGGCTTGAAAACCAAGGCTATAAAGTAAATTACAAGCCACAGAATCACAGATGCTAGTTTTTTATAAGATCAGTTTACTATATATTTAGTTTATAAAAATACTCAAAAAAAAACTACTTTATCAAACACTTATCCTTTCGACATCATTTTATATCATAAATTGCCTATCTGTTTTTCACACTACACTGTATCAAAAGCCTCAAGACCTTGACCGTTATATATGCATAGAAGTAAATGAGTTTGAAAGACAACATGACCAGGGGCGCAAGGGGGGCAACATTACCTTGTGTAATTTTTCTGTTCTGTAAAATATATTTTGAATGATTTTTTCTAGGTCCACCCCAATTTCATAAATTTGGGTTCTGAGCATTGACTATGCCACTATACATGACTAAAGAGTCTTTCTAATCTGTTCCTCTCTATTTCTTCGTTGAACAAAATAAAGTGTCTCAATGTATCATTTGATTGTATTTGACCATTAGCATTTTGTTTTGCTTAACTGGAATAGCTGCTCCTATGAGTGCAAGTGTTAAATCTTGCATTGCTTTTTGTGGGGTCGGTTTGTTTGACTCCTTTTGAATCGCGCAGGGAGACCAATGACGATCTTTCTGGTTCGAGAAGAGGACATCTGGATGAGCCTCTTCTCAGGAACAAGAAGTGAATAACCCCATCGACGAGTTTCCCTAACATGCAGAGAGTTACTCCGTATTTAATTTGTTTAGACTGAATCCTCTGAGAATGCAACCGAAAAAGAGACCATCAAAAATACCACTTAGATCAGAATCCGAATTTAACTGAGATCAGAATGTGTGAATATGTATTATGTAATACAAATTCATTCACTTCATTCTCGGCCAATTTAAAAAAACCGGAACCATCAGAGACGTTTCTCTGCCAAGCGCCGCACGCGTCTAATTAATTTAAAAAAAACCAGGAAACCTAATGGAGGCGCTTCTATGAAGAAAGCGCCGCACGTGATTTTTTTTTTAAAAAAAATCGGAAATTCAATGGAGGCGGTTTTTGCCTATAAGAGCCGCACGCTTTCGAAAAAAAATAAAATAAAAAAATGACCGCCTTACTGAGGCGTTTGTACTGAAAAGCGCCTCAAACGAAGCGCCTCTATTTTTAGCAATTGAGCCAAATGATCTCCACTCCTCCATTGATATTGAGGGGGAGTGGAGAGATACAATTTTTTTAGTTGATCATTATAAGCAATGGAGCCAAAGATTCACTATTTTTTGGCTTGAGAATATGATGGAATAAAGCAAAATGGTTCACTAAACTGTATCTCTCCATTGCTTTTGAGGCGCTTTTAAGCAAATAAGCGTCGCGCGCGTCCCAAAAATTTTCAAAGAGGATAATAAGCGTCATAGTAGTATCAAACTTTATTACAAAATCATACTAGGCCTCATGCATGTATCATAAATTATCATAGAAGCACTCTAGACCTTAGACAATCATCAAGTTTAATTCATTAGTTAGTTTCTTCACAAACCCCAAATAAGCATCAAACTAATAATCTATGACATAACCATACTGGGCGACAAACTTCATCACATAGGAAGCATCAAACTTCGTCACACAACCATACTAGGCGTCACACATGCATTAAAGAATGTTCCACTATAAAAAATCATAGTGGATGGACCTCAGACAAGCATCCAACTTCATTATACCTATGTCGACCGCTACTTATTTAATCAACAGATTACTATTTAGAGGGTTTAATATGGTGTTAGCCCTATACAAATTATGAATAGTTTTTTCCCACTGTCAAATCTCCAGAGTTGTATTTTTCATTGTTTTTCATTAGTTCATGTTCATGCCCCGCATCAGAGTAAACTAGACCCCATAAGTGCCATAACTCTTATATATATTTTTATAATATATGCCTAAGATAAAAAGGGTACAAATGTTATCAACATTCCAGTCATCGTGTCTATATATCAATGAATGCTACTTTTCTGAAATTGAATCTTTTTATTCCAACTTTCAACTCCAAAGAGAGCAGATAGGAAATCGAGTCTCTTAAGTTTTATATTCCTCCTTTAATACGTGAACCATTGAAACCACTCCATATTCCTTCCCCTATGTAAAATTATTGTAAATTAATACTAATGATAATGATTTTGAACAAATCCTAGTGCAGAATAATGATGATAAATTCGAATAAAGTATTATCGAAAAGTTAAACCCGTCCTAGCCCAACAATAAGACCATATGTTTAAGTGCTCCTAACCCCGAAATTATTAATTACTTGAGCTAAAGCTTAGTGACTCGCTTGTTTCCTTTAGAAACACATGCAGGTGCAAAAACGTCATTTAGAGGCGCTTTTTTTTACACGTGTGGCGCTTTATGGCGCCTCTAATGAATAGTGCCGCAAAGCGTTTTTAGAGGCGCTTCTCTGCAAAAAGCGTCTCTAATTTTTTTTAATTTTTTTTTGTTTTCGCGGGGCGTGCGGCGCTTATTTGCTAAAAAGCACCTCTAAACTCCAAAATTTTTGGGACACGTGCGGCGCTTATTTGCTTAATAGCGCCTCTAAATTTGAAATTTTTGTGAATTTAACGGATAGTTTTATAGGCGCTTTATAGGTAGAAGCGCCTCTGAATTTTTATTTAATTAAAAATATTTATATAAAAATTTAGCTAGATTCCCTGTTTATAATACGTAAAAATACATAAAGCGAACTCCATACAATCAAACATATCCGATAAAAAAAGTACCATATCATCTACAAAAAAGCATAATGCACAATTAAGTACGTGTTTAATTAATTAAACATCCAATCAACATTCATACATTACAAATTGTTTGGCTAAGTAGTTTTTTCTCAACTTTGCAATACAACATCAAGAAAGTATCTTGACCATACATTTCTGATATCATTGAACTCTGCTAATGTGTATGGTTCACTTCTTGAACGCCATACCTGAAATGTATTGAAATGATCACAAATATAATTCAATTTAATTACAATGCAATATATATATATATATATATATATATATATATATATATATATATATATATATATATATATATATATACTCCCTCCGTCCCGAAAAGGTTTGCCAAATTTCCTTTTTTGGATGTCCCAAAAAGATTTGTCATTTCCATTTAAAGTAAGGAATATGTGGCTAAAGTTAATTCTCTCTCCTCTGCACAAATTTCAACCACACAGTTTCTACTTTATTAATCCACGTGAAAGTCAAAGTTGGCAAACCTTTTCGGGACGGAGGGAGTATTATATAATAAATATATAACTTTGCAAACTCACAATTTATTCATACCTTTCCAATATCATGATTTTCAGAGTATGATATTATTTCCCACATGAATCTCATGACATAATATCCACATTCAGTACTTCCGTTTTGTTGTGCAACCTGTATAGTTCACATTACACGTATAAGAATCAAAATTCTATTTCAAGATTACTTTCCTCTCATTAATTGTAGGATAGAAAGGATGGAACATACCTTCACACTATTCCATTTAATTGACTTACCGCTACCTTTTTGTGCAGATGCAACCCTGTACATTCTGCAAATTCAAACAAACATTATGTTTACATATATACATGTGTTTATATATTAATATGTAAATTAAGTTTATTCAAACAAATAAATAATACTAACGTTGTCAAGTCTCTTTGAATACTAATGCTAGAAGAACTCGATATGGAATCAAAAATATATCCCTTATCGACCATAGGACAAATGACAAGCAGAATCCAATGATACCTATATTGTATAAAATAACACAATAAATAAATAACGTATCACAAGAATTATTTCAATGGAGATAGATCGTATATGTGTTTTACCCTTCATGGTATGGAAGGAAAATGAATGACTTTTCAAAGGACTCTATCAAAGCATGTTTCAAGTAAGTCATTGTGCCCTTTTTGTCCATTTTATAATGTTCAAAAGAGCACATGTGAGGGCACAAAAAGCCAATGTCGTCACGGCCAAGCTCAACTAACTTTTCTTTTAAACAACTGCACATACATAAATATTATCACACTTAGAGCACCTAAAAAACATTTACTTAATTTAAAAGTAATGCATATTGAATACTTACAGCAAGAAAGTCTGAATGATACAAATCTCAAGTGAGTCCCCATCAAGAAATCGAGACAACTGGTGTGTTGTAAGCTACGGCTACGGCCACATAATCCAAGCTCATATCACCACTAACAGTTTGTGACTCAACAGCCAGCCTACAATTTGCACCATCCTGCATGAATTTCCACATGTAATTAAAGATTTACATTGAATAATAAAATACTTAATATCATATACTCCCTCCGTCCCAAAGTTAATTTCTCATTCACGTAGTAAAATTATTTTATTGTTACTCACAATGAAAGATTTATGTGGAATATCAGCTGTGGAGTTCATTGTATCAACTTGGCCTGACTCAGAAGCTTGCGTTGATCCCATGGTAGGTTGTTCACCTCTAGGAACAAAGTAGTGATGCATATCTTTCAACCATCTCTCTTGCAACTTTTTCAAATCATCCTCACTCAAATCACCCACTTTATCGCGCCGTCCACCTCTACGCTCTGCTGCAAACACTCGAGTATAACCCACACCACCACCAATGCCACGTGCACAGCCAGGATAGTCAGGTTTCCCTACAACCTCAGTCAAAATATCATGTCGTCCAGTTAGCTTCCATGTCCCTGCAGCTATGTCATCTTGAATTTTGTCCTATTATATAGTTTATTTAAAGTGCATTAGCTTTGATTTAAACGAATTTATAAAAGATATAAGAAATGTTTAACTTACCAATTTGTTTTTTTTTTCTCTTTCATGCCATCAGTATTAACGGGAAAAGCTAAATGTCCATCAGATGTCAATCCCGACCTAGCACAGAACCAGCTTACATGTCTTGGAATTTCTTCAGTTGTGGTTGTGCTAGACTTCGTTGAATCTACCTCCGATGTCGGAAGAAACCGGTCTAATAAGCCTTGCTCTTTCCATTTCGCCATGGAAAGCACATATCCTGAACGGCCCATATGATGAGGAAAAATGTTCTGTAGCGCTGCTTGTTTGTTCTTCTCACTCAAAGCCTGCTCAATATTTTGGTTCAACATTAACTATTTATAAAAATTTAATGACTTAACCACTAAAATGCTAATAAACGTAGTATCATTTTAAAATAAATAATCATACCATAAACTCTGGAGTCGTACTCTTGGCCACAAAATCTTCCCACACTTCTTTTGTGAGTTGGTCTTTGTACTTCTCCAAAGGATCAACACAATCCTTTCCAATCGGTCGTGTCTTAGAAAGGTATATGCCAAAAAAATGAACAAATAAACTCATCTTTATCAATGTCAAATGTAATTCTCACTCGATTAAAAATTAAAAAAGCCTAAACATGAGAACAATGGATATCATTCAAAATATACTTTAATCCGAAAACATTCAAACTAAAATCAATGAAATCAACCAAAATATACCAAAAAACTAATTGATAAATAAACTGACCTTATAAATTGACTAATATCAGATTATTTAGTACCCTTATAAATCCATCTCCTAGGTATGTGTTCTTGACCTTTTACGCCTTACTATCGAGTTATCTATTGCATTTTCGGTACTGCTGGGAAATTGAACTAAAGACATTGCAAACGAAAATTCAATTTATTAAAACAGACATGACAGACACAAAGGAGACGGACAGAGATGAAAACACAAGAAAGCTAAATAACAGTTCAAAAAAATAATTGAAGAATGAACTGACCGGAGCAGTTCACGGCGGGCCGGATCCGGAGCAGTCCACGACGAGCCGGAGCAGTCGACGGCGGGCCGGAGCAGTCCACGGCGAGCCAGAGCCGTCAACGGCGTTCCACAGATTTTGCAGCCGAAAGACCAGGGCCGGAGAAGAAGACGACGACGGCAAGCGTACGGCGGCAGAAATGCAGCAGCTTCAGCGGCAGCAGAGGCACGGACACCCGGCGGCGGTAGCAGATTTCCTCTGGTTGGTGCGGCTGCTATCGAACGTTGAAGCTTAAGCTAGGGATTTGGTCATCAAATCCGCGCCTGGCCTGGTGTCGATCGAATAGGTTAGGGTTAATATTAGAGGCGCTGCTTAAAGAAAAGCGCCGCACGCATCGTGCACTCATGCCCCTCTCTCCAAATTTTAGAAGTGAGCTACAAAGTTTATTCAACACCAAGTGAGTCCGTTATTGCTAAATTTATCAAGTTTGAAAGAAATTATTCATGACCATGGTACTAGAATAATTTTTTATATAAAGTTTGGGGTATTTAAATTACATATGTAAGTTTTAGATGTTTATCTCACACTCCTTCAAAGTTTGGGGTATTTTAATGATTTTTCCCAAATTTAAATCACATGACGTAACCAAATGCATAGGTTTAAAAGTGACAAGACATAGGTAACGTGATCACTTACGTGACAGATGACAAGATAAAAACTATTCTTATTTAGGAATTTCGTTTAACAGTACTCTTGATCAGGAAATAAGATTGGAAAGTCAATTTTCTTGGGAAAAAGCTCCACGGCATTCCTTATCTTAAACTTTGTATAAATCAAGTTTGGTTATATTTATGAGACGAGATAACCTTCTTGTTCACCTTTTTGGTCATCATCATTTCATTCTATTTGTAATTTTGAATATCAATTGGTGTCCATCTTCTAATTTTAATTTTGTAATACAAAATATATTTTGATCGAGTTACTTACGTTATACATCATTAATGTAACGGATTATTCCAAAATAGTGAACATCAATCCCAAGACCCCCTACTCTAACCCAGTAGAGCATTTGAGTTGTTAAACAATGAAACTATATTAGTGCTGACTAAGTGACTATGTATGCACAAGGAGATCTTAACTTTGAGAAGTTGCTCCTTTGATATATGTCATATTAAGATTATTAAAATTTTCACCCTTGATTATATGTGTCATATTGATGGTTTAAAAGTAACATCCTTTCCAAATATTGATGGTTCAGTCTCAGGGTTTACTTTGCTTCAAAACCAGAAGAAACCCAACAAAACCAAAACTATACTGGAATAACTCGGCTTGGTTTTTTAAAGGACATTTTTAAAAATTCAACCGACCTGAACCTCACCACCAAGTCACCAACACCCCTACCAACGATAATCTAGTCTAAATCAAAAGGCCAAATAAAAGGGAAGAAAATGTAAACAAAGAAGTGTGATCTAAAACGCCATATCAAGAGCCATGGCCGGAAAATCAAATCAGAAGAACTTGCAGCAATAGGATCAGCGAGCTACAGCGCGAGCGGAAAGCATGGCTGATGCACAAAATTAAAACGGCATATAAAATGATAATAGTAGAATGGTGTGGTTATATTATTTGTCACTCACAAACCTCGATAGGCAGTAGAATACATTAACACAATAGAAACAACAAATCCCTATTGAAATGACAATACAATTAATTAACAACAAAAGAACAGTATCTGTCAACAAATCCGAGTGAGTAGGAATTCCAGATTTGCAACATGTAGACATAATATCTAAGTTCTACTGTTTCTGCAGCCTTCTATTTATTTTAAATGTGCTCCAAACATGATGAAAGGTTACATGGCAGTGCAAAAGATCCTAATCACGACCATGAGTGATGTGATCAGCCTCATTCAGGAGTATCTGAACGGACGGCTGTTAAAGTAAAACCCAAGAGAAGTATATTAGTACCAGGGATGCTGAAAAATTAGCAAGAAACACACATATAACAATCATATTATCTTATGAACTCCAAATCTCTACAACCATCAAAGCCAAACAAGCAAAGCTATGCATCTAAACCCAATAAAGATTTTATTTGATGATTCTTGATATGATTCACTATTGAGAAGTATAGGATACTATCAATAAACTTCTTGAGAAGATCTAATACGGAAAAAATAGAAGACATATGAAGAGTAGGAGGAGAAGATTCATATAGAAAGTTATGTAAGCAAATTGTTTGCACTTTCACATTGAAGGCATTCAGATACAATCTAGAAATACTTAACAAACAATGGGGCTTTCAAACCCAACAAGGTTACTCTTTGAACAGGACATAGCAAAACCCTAAGGTGGCATGATGGACTTTCAATAGGAAAAAAATACCTATAACTAAATAACTAATACAAGTAAGCCACCTGAGGAAGCCATACATCTATATATTTAAGATAAAATTGTACTCACAATTGAATTAACAGCTAGTCAGCTACAGAAGTTTTTCCATAAAGTTCCACATTATCATACTTGAGAAAGTTTTAAGTCAGTATAACAATCTAGCTTGTGATGTTGTCACTATATATCTAGCACCATCACCGCCACCTTCATCCCAACTACCTTGGGTCAGTGTTAGGGTGGCACGAAATTTATAGAGTTTTTTTACAACAAAAATTATAGAGTTAAATACCTTCAATTAGTTAAGGCTACAATTTCATGCATAACATTATAGTGAAAAACTAAGTTGATTGACCATCTTGTAGAAATGTAGACCATATGGCTTCATTGTAAAGGAGGGACAATAGCTTACCATGGCATCTTTTGAGATGACATTTTTACAAATAGGTGGTGAAGATTTGAGATTGTTAACAGAGTCGTGTCCTATTTCAGAATTGATGTTGTAAAACCAAAATGTGCATAATGGATAACTGCAGTGTCATACTGTAGAGATACGACCACACTTTCAAAATTAATACTATTAAAATAGTTCTACATTTTCAGCTTATAATAATGATAATATAAACAAGATAATCCGTTGCAGATGATATCATGCCAAGTTACCCAAGTACTCAGGGGTAATGGCTAACGATTAAGAATAATAGAATGACATCATAATGAAGCTCATAGGACAAACCACAGCTCTTGGCGGTCTCACACTCTCACCACGCTCTAGGGCATAATTTGGAAAGAAACGATATTCAAAAAATCAAAACCCAAAAGAACAAATTTTCTAACACGGCATAATTTAAATCAATCAAACAAACCATTTTAAGATCTGAAATCGAGATAAGATCAGAGATATGATTTGGATCGATTAAGTGAAGTAGTACTAACTGGGCTTCGGAGGCTTTCCCTCTGCCCATTTGGACATGGAGAAATGGACCTTCTCACGGCTTAGGGCTTCGCATCTGTAGGGTTCCTTAAGGCAGTTCCTCACCATGTTGGCGCACAGGTTGGAGTAAGTTATGTAAGTCATTCCGGCTGCTCTCCAGAACGGCACCGCCGCGTTCGACGCCATTTCTTTCTTTTCCCGGTTTGTCTTCTTCAAGTTAAGTGTGCACTCACGTCCGTCTCCGCAAATTTTAGAAGTGAGCTACGAAGTTTATTCAGCACCAAGTGAGTCGGGTAATGCTAAATTTATCAAGCTTGAAAGAAATTATTCATGACCATGGTACTAGAATAATTTTTTATATAAAGTTTGGGGTTTTTAAATTACATATAGTTTTGGATGTTTATCTCACACTCCTTCAAAGTTTGGGGTATTTTAATGTTTTTTCCCAAATTTAAATCATATGACGTAACCAAATGCATAGGTTTAAAAGTGACAAGACATAGGTAACGTGATCAGGAAATAAGATTGGAAAGTCAATTTTCTTGGGAAAAAGCTCCACGGCATTCCTTATCTTAAACTTTGTATAAATCAAGTTTGGTTATATTTATGACATGAGATAACCTTCTTGTTCACCTTTTTGGTCATCATCATTTCATTCTATTTGTAATTTTGAATATCAATTGGTGTCCATCTTCTAATTTTATTTTTGTAATACAAAATATATTTTGATTGAGTTACTTACGTTATACATCATTAATGTAATTGATTATTCCAAAACAGTGAACACCAATCCCAAGACCCCCTACTCTAACCCAGTAGAGCATTTGAGTTGTTAAACAATGAAACTATATTAGTGCTGACTAAGTGACTATGTATGCACAAGGACATCTTAACTTTGAGAAGTTGCTCCCTTGATATATGTCATATTAAGATTATTAAAATTTTCACCCTTGATTATATGTGTCATATTGATGGTTTAAAAGTAACATCCTTTCCAAATATTGATGGTTCAGTCTCAGGGTTTACTTTGCTTCAAAACCAGAAGAAACCCAACAAAACCAAAACTATACTGAAATAACTCGGCTTGGTTTTTTAAAGGACATTTTTATGGGGTGAATGAAGTGAATGAATTTGCCGAGAATGAAGTGAATGAAGTGAATGAATTTGTATTACATAATACATATTCACACATTCTGATCTCAGTTATATTCGGATTCTGATCTAAGTGGTATTTTTGATGGTCTCTTTTTCGGTTGCATTCTCAGAGGATTCAGTCTAAACAAATTAAATACGGAGTAACTCTCTGCATGTTAGGGAAACTCGTCGATGGGGTTATTCACTTCTTGTTCCTGAGAAGAGGCTCATCCAGATGTCCTCATCTCGAACCAGAAAGATCGTCATTGGTCTCCCTGCGCGATTCAAAAGGAATCAAACAAACCGACCCCACAAAAAGCAATGCAAGATTTAACACTTGCACTCATAGGAGCAGCTATTCCAGTTAAGCAAAACAAAATGCTAATGGTCAAATACAATCAAATGATACATTGAGACACTTTATTTTGTTCAACGAAGAAATAGAGAGGAACAGATTAGAAAGACTCTTTAGTCATGTATAGTGGCATAGTCAATGCTCAGAACCCAAATTTATGAAATTGGGGTGGACCTAGAAAAAATCATTCAAAATATATTTTACAGAACAGAAAAATTACACAAGGTAATGTTGCCCCCCTTGCGCCCCTGGTCATGTTGTCTTTCAAACTCATTTACTTCTATGCATATATAACGGTCAAGGTCTTGAGGCTTTTGATACAGTGTAGTGTGAAAAACAGATAGGCAATTTATGATATAAAATGATGTCGAAAGGATAAGTGTTTGATAAAGTAGTTTTTTTTTTGAGTATTTTTATAAACTAAATATATAGTAAACTGATCTTATAAAAAACTAGCATCTGTGATTCTGTGGCTTGTAATTTACTTTATAGCCTTGGTTTTCAAGCCACGACACTTTTTCATTTTGTCACAAAGCCACAACAATCCCAAACTAGGCCTATAACTTTAATTTATGCACTTACAGCTGCCTTTTGGGCTGTAAGCCTCCTAATTGATGGAGCACGTGCCATTGACG